TGTTTTAAACATTGAATTATTGAAGCCGATACGCTCGAAGATCTCCCGCCAGCGTTGCGGACCTACCACAATTCCATGCTTACATCGACGCCGATGTTTTCAAAACATCGATGTTTTAAACATTGAAGTATTGAAGGCGATGTGTTTTCAACATCAGTGTTTTGTAACTGTTTGGCTGTCCGAGAGAATCCATGTCGTAGACACGGGTGCCAACGTTTCGCCGTCATTCTCCGACCTTCCTCAGTGGGGAATGCATTTAGAGGAGCCCTGAAGATGGTCGCAGAATGGCGGCCGAAACGTGAGCACCTGTGTCTACGGCACGGATTCTCTCGGACAGCTAAGCAGCTATCTAATCCGTCCGCGGGAGCATACGCTCCTATTCTTGACCTCTCTCAAATTATAAATTAATATTCTCGGCTATTATGAAAAAACACCGATGTTTTAAAATATTGATGGCTTTTTATCGATGTATAATTAACATCGATGTTTTAATTTTGAATATCAATGTTTGGACAATGTTTCGACACATCGATGTTTTATATCAATGTTGCATCACTAGCTCACATCCTTCACACTGCTACAATTTCAACAGTCTACTTTAATGGATAGCTCACAAAATATATGGGCATTAGATTTTGTGACAAACTTAAATTTGAAAAAACAAAATTCCATGACACAGTTTTGTATTTTATATTTCAATTACGTTGTCAGTTCTCTGAGTCAATTTTAATACAAAAAATACAACACTGTGACCTGGAATTTTAATTTTTGAATTTCAAGCCTGTCATTAAACCTGATGGTCATAAATTACAAAGAATTTGCTTTTAATCATAATTATGAACTGCGGGAATCTTCTTTACAAGTTAAAAAATGCAATTTTAGCCAGACAAATTGTATTCACTAATCTTCACTTCGCTAACCTCATAAGTCTAATCAAAAGCACTTTTAGGACCTAGAAAAGTGTTGATTTAAATACACGAATGAATATGTACATAAGAAAGTGAGTTTCTTAGTATCATAATATAACGCAGAATTTTGTAGGAAAAATGAGAGGTGTAAAATGCTACATAACAATCATCAAAATAATGGCTGTATCCTAATCACTTGGTGATGTAGGAAGTTACTAATGTTTAAAAAATTGAAGCCTACAGACGTAATACCAAGATATTGGAAGGCAAATGCATGACTTTGAAGGGTACCGAGTACCTACCATTCTCTTTCTCATAGCCGTAGTGAGTATCCCCAAGCGCAACCACACCTGTGTCCTCTCTGGAGTCAATTGGTAAAGCGGCTGAAAGAATAATAATAATAATAATAGTAATAATAATAATAATAATAATAATAATAAGAAGAAGAAGAAGAAGAAGAAGAAGAAGAAATACGCCTTTATGGATATGGCGAGGCTCGGACCATCAGGCCCGCTCTTCCGCCTAACCACATGTCAGAAATATACAAATTAGTTCAAAAATGTAATGTAATCTACAAATGTAAATGTAATTTAATCTACAAGTGGTAAGAAGTTAGTGGAAAACAAACATAATTTAAAGCAACTTATAAATAGATAACATCAGAGGTTAAATGAATATAAAAATGTTACAAAAATTTGTTTTAAAATAATTTTAAATTCATAGTCGGATATTGAAAACATTATTTGAATTGTGTAACATATTATGAAATAACATATTAGTTAATAGCATATGTAGAGTACAATGAAGCAACAAGTACTTTATCTAAAGCTAAAAAACACTTGGTGACGATTTGAATAACGGTTAATTGTCTTTGAAACACATTAACATTTAATTGAAGGGCTAGAGGTATAAGCCACATCAGTCACAGCAAGCTTTCCGTTTTCGTAAAGGTTAATATCTCGAAGTTGGTCCAAGTGTATCTCATCTTACTAGTATCTGAAATCCCTTATAAATATCAACAAGGTATATAGTGACAAGATAAGCAACACTTTCACCAAAATCGAGTTATTAACATTTACAAAAAGCGGGAGACAGAGGGTTTATTATCTTGTTACTCCCTGAAGTCATTCAATTTTCTATTCAAGGAGTCAAATTATTGTAAACGATCTGTGACAGAATTGTCATTGAGTTACAAATGTTAATTCTAAAAAATATTTTTTTTCTAAACGCGAGAACGCCAAATTACGAGCTGTAACTAATTTTGAGGGGGCACGACCAACCCTGGATTTCAGGATTAAAAAACCATCATGTAACATGGTTTTGGAAACAGGAAACAGTCAATCCACCCAGAATGTTTAGAAACAGAATTGCAATTTCAAGTCGTGTGGAAATGTCTTCACCTACGACAAGGATTCACACGACTGACGTGCACTTTGCTCCAGTCAATGCCAGTGTCAATGTCAAAGTCAGTAATGCAGCAATTTACTATTACGAAAATGCGAAAAAACGCATGAATGAGGAAATAGCACGCAAACGATCTGACGTATGATGAAGATTACCATTATTAAAGCAATCAGTGTCACTTCGGACAAAACTAGTTGCACATCTGTTGATTTCTCTCATTGTGTGACACGTGAGGAAAATTGAAGAAAGATGGAGTACCGGAAATTTACAACGTGACTGAGTAGTGTTATAAACAATTTTATATAATCTAATGTGAATTGGATCATCAGTAGAGGTTTCGAATTGATGATACTCAACTCATGCCATTCGTGTTTAAGTTATTTCAATTAATGGATGCCAACACAATGATCGGAAAAATGTTTCTTTTAAGACAGAGTTATTACCTGCAGATTTACTAACAATAGCGAGAATTTAAATTGCAAAATTCCGGTTTATTGTCAGTGGAATTCCTAAATAACAAGAAAATTATAATTAGTTTGATGGACTGTTAAATTACAACTTGAATTATTAATTGAATAACTATTTGGATTCACAAGGGACAAAAGTAGATTAGAAATTTCAAATGCAGGCACTTAAAATGAAGCTCACCGAATTGCCACAAGATTAAAGTTTAAAATTAGTTCTATTCAATATTATTCTGCGAGTATCTACTCTAGTGAAGGCTCCTAGCTATCCGGGTGACGCCGAGTCTAGGACAATGATGCAGACATTTCGACCATCATATCGTGGTCTTTTTCACTCGCACTCCGGGCCTGAAGACGACATGAAGGTCGAAACGTCAGCATCGCTATCCTTGTCACGCGGACAGCCGAGAGCCGTCACATGGCTAGTCACGGAAGCCTATGATTACATCTTGTCTAGTGTTGAATTAAGGAAATTCATTAGGCTAGCTTACTTCAGACACTTCAAAATTCATCTTACGCTGTATCTGTGAGAACTGAACAAAAATAAATCAACGGTTTTTGTTGTAGTCCATTGCGCTTAGCATTAACATGTAATACACAGTTTTCCCGAAATTTAGCTGTCAAGCGAGCCGCGAACAATTCTCGTGAATATTATCCTGTACCTCTAAGCTCAGCGCAGGGCTCAATACTTCCATTCTCGACCGGGAAAATGCCGATGATTGTTTGAAAACTATGCAATGCATGAGGAAGAGAGATTTAGGCGTTAGTAGAGACAAATATACAAAATTAGCGCATCGAGAGTTCAAGTGCAAGAGAACATCAAGAGTTAAGAAACATAGTTAAGGTACACAAAAATGTTTTGGTCAAAGATTGTAAGTGAAAACACAAGACTCAATTGTAAAAAGGAACGATAAAAATATTACTCATAAATCAATACAACTTGTGAACGTAGAACTTAATTTACTACCAACTGGAAAAGTGTCATTGTTGTCACTTAATGGCCTCTCGACGCATTAATTGTGAAATTAATATTCTTAAGTGGTCGCGATCTTTTCGAATACAATGTAATACATTATGGAAATCATTTCAAACGAGTCGGCTGTACAATTTTCAAACCTAGCTAAAATTCTCAACAAAAAAAATCCATTTTATAATTTTTATATCGTTTCATGTTTTCTAAAATGACCATTTCCCATTTATTAGCCGATAGTTTTCTGAAATGGTCGGCAAACAGTGGACGGAACGTCTACAGAGTTTGAAACACTGCGCTGCTCAAGCGGGTCCAAATTTCCCAAAAATCCTTTTGAGCTTCAGGCAGCATGTTCACCTCCGTTGCCGCGCAAGCGGTCAGCGTCGTCCCCGAAAGGCCGCTCGGGAGCGATGTCCATGGCCGGCGACTCGTGGTGCACGATCTCTGCAACAGCAAGAGACTTCTTCAAAAACTGACGCAAACCACATTTTAATCTAGTAATTGAATGTTTTTTTTAAAAAAACAACAACTTTAGCCCAAAAAGTGAGATTTTGAGATACTACAACTATTGCTAGAGCTTCACAACCGCCGTTTGGCGACTGTGTTGTTGTAAACAATATCAACCCCTGACCGATATTATCCCCGAAAATTTTAGTGATTTTGGTAAAAGAATCATAGTCCAGAGTCTTATGATATCCAAATTTATCAATTAACCACCATGATCCAAAAACAACCCCACATTTTTTCCCTCTCCTGAAAAACTGTATCTTTGGAGTATGGTTGTTAAAAAGAACAATTGAAAAAACTATTTTATTCAAATTATTTTCTTGTTGACACTACTGTTAGACACAAACTTACCATGGTATTTATGATTATTTTTTATTTACAGTATTAATTTATTTAAATAAGTTTAAATTATGAATTTCAGAGTTACTATTCTTTTGAAACAGGCAGTATTAAAAAAGGTATTAAATTTAATTAATAGTTTCAATTATATTTGTAGTGAGAAGATGAACAGTAGAAGTTAGAGATTATTTTTGTAGTCATCTTGTGTGTACTTCTACAGAGTTCTTCTGAAGGAGGGAATGCTTCTTTCGTAATGAAGTTTATATTGGGAGGACAATAAAGATAAGCATCGCATAAGTATGAAATGCCTAGAATATAAGTCAATAAACTCGAAAAAGGATCGAAGTTTCGTATCTATAGGCTAGCCGTACGAAATTCGTAAGCAATAATTATTTCAAAAGAAGTCACAATTGCGATCTAAATTTACATAAGATTTTATAATTCCGTTTGTTAAGTCTAAAGACGAGTATTTATGTTGATACAATGTAATTGGTTGACTGCACTAGGTCCACATTGTGTATGTCTGTAGGTATGTCTGCATTTCTGTATGTATTATCAATTGGTTATTAATTTATTTTTCAGAAAGCGATACTAATTCGCAGTATTGCTAGAGTAACAGCGTCAGAGAAATATCTTATACACAAGCCTGTTAGCCGTTTTTACTTTCGCGCGTTTTTCACAACATTCAGGCACATCAGCCCTAGATCTACACTCATCTTAGCCGCACGGTTTCTCTCTGGAAGGTACCTGTGATATCTTTCATTCACGAAAGCATGAAAGTAGCGGACAACGTCCTGGGCGTCCTGGGCGACACATTTCAGTTAATTTATGAGCTCCCAAGTTACTGTTGAACAGTAAAGTGACAATAAGTTGCTTGGAGAACGGGTTATTGTTGACACTAAAGTTGTTGAGAAGAATTGGTCTGTAAGCAGGGACAAGATCGTAAGTCTGCGTGAATAATTTCAAAAAGTAATTTATAAAACTTATGCTACAAAAATCTTCACGTGGTAAGAAGGTTGGCCACAGAACAAGGAAGGTTTTGATAGATAAAAAAAACAGTATTAAGTTGTAAAATTATCAAATTCGCGAAACATATAGATGGACTTTTGCCTGTAGACATAAAGACTGTATTCTATTTTGGTTGAAATTACACGTTTCATTTATTTGAACCTTAGAGTTTCCATTTATTTAAAAAGAAACTTTAAGAAAAGGATAATGACGTCAAAGGACCTGAATTCAACTTTAAGAAAAGGCCAGTGAGGTTAAAGGACCCGAATTCAGTAACATCAAGCGCGTTATTTCTGGGCAGACACTTGTAGACTAGTTAAAGTTAAACGCAGGAGGCGTCGCTGGGCTCTCCTAGACCACGAAGCCGACCTGGGGAACACAACACTCACCTGCGGCATGGGCGGCGAGCGGGCTGTAGCCCAGGAGCAGCAGCAGCAGCAGCAGCGGCGCTGCCGCGAACGCCCAGCGAATCGCCCGCCATCGGGGCGGCCTCCGGCACGCCCTACGCATCACATTTACAAACCTTTGTTACTACTGCAAAGCACGCACAAAACACTTTGTTTCTTGAGGATAGGGTGATTGTCGAATTAGAAGAACACGAACTACACAAATCCATTCTTTAAAGGAAGAAAAAGATTAAAAGGCATTTCCTGTGATTAGTATGAATACACCATTTATGAAATATTATCAGATTGCGTCCATAAACAACACTGGTCCAACAATTATTGAACTATAAATACGAGTGTTAGTATAAAAAAATAATTAACAATGTACAAAATAGGCAAAGCCATTCATACTAGGCATAACACTTGTTAGAACAATGTAAAATGCTAATACTCGTCACATGAATCTTTCGTACTACGTCTTCTATAGATCTGAACTCTGCATACATTTCGACGTTTTATACCATCAGCAGTAAAAGCCGGCTGTGATGGCTAGAGACAGCATTGCTGCTGCGTTCTTGACTAGGGTACGATTCGGTCAGGAGTCTTTTTAACACCTCCTTTTTTGACTTTTGACTTGGTCGAATTCAAGCATTTGTTTAGAAGAGAATTTTAGTGGCCAGGTGCTGTCATAGGTAATTTTCGGAGTTTTCTCCGGTCAATACCGGACGAATGCTGGAGCAGTTCCCTACTAGCCGAACACGGAAAGTCCTTCGTCACTCATGATCCCTCCTCTCCACACTCTTTCTTTCTTTCTTTCCCTCTCTTTCTTTCTTTCCCTCTCTTTCTTTCTTTCTCTCTTTCCCTCTCTTTCTTTCTTTCCCTCTCTTTCTTTCTTTCTCTCTTTCCCTCTCTTTCTTTCTCTCTCTTTCTTTCTTTCTCTCTCTTTCTTTCTTTCTTTCTTTCTCTCTCTTTCTTTCTTTCTCTCTCTCTTTCTTTCTTTCTCTCTCTCTCTTTCTTCCTTTCTCTCTCTTTCTTTCTCTCTTTCTTTCTCTCTCTCTCTTTCTTTCTCTCTCTCTCTTTCTTTCTCTCTCTCTTTCTCTCTCTTTCTTTCTCTCTCTCTTTCTCTCTCTTTCTTTCTCTCTCTCTCTTTCCCTCTCTTTCTCTCTCTATTTCCCCCCTCTCTCTCTCTCACACACACACCACACACACACACAGACACACGTACAATACTACTATCTTGGGAGACACCCGTCAGGATCTTTGAGCAGTCGACGCCTTTACGAAGCTTCTGAGCAACCTTGCCGTTTTAAAATCCTATTTTGAGCTACTAACAGAAACCTGAAGAGTAGAACATTTTCATCAAATAAATTGTACATCAAAAATAAAATGAAATTGAATTGTCCTGAACAAATAATTGAATGGTCTTTAATAATAAATTAGAAATGTAAGAACAATTATATCAGACTAACTTTCATGAGATCGATAGCTATCTTTTTGGTCATCAACGAGTTTTTTAACGTCGAGAAAGTAGATAGAGGGTAACATTTGAACGCGCATGTCTAAATATTCATCAGTCATTTTAATATTCTATAAATGCCATGCTGGAAAAAGAAATCTCACAGATGTATATAGCTGTTTACTTGAGTAAAGAAATAATCGGTTTCCCATTCCGAATGAAAGCGATTGTTTTTTGTTGTTCTTTTCTTGAACTTGCAATCATAGGCACGTACCTACCTTAGTGTCAATAGAAAATCAAACTATTAATTGAAGCAAATGTCTGATAAACACAGGCGAATCATAACAGACGGAATCTCACGCTCCAACCTTTAACGATTAGTATGACTGACGGTTGCCGGGAAGTTGGCAAGCAGCTGTTTTATCGAGTCATCTGTCTGGTCTCAGTGGTGATCTCTAGAGCTTGTCCTGGAGGAGGCGGTGCCCCGCTGGCGGAAATACCTGCAGAAAAAAACCCCACAAGCCGAAGTGTGGTTGGCGTCGGATTCACTCTCCAGTGGGCAACACAATTTTCCGCGGTTTACCATGCACTACACTTACGGAAATCCCGAGACACGTCAAATATAATAATAATAATTATAAATCTTGTCTTACAAAACTACTCCACAGACTTAATAATACGATAACGTGAAGTTTGAAATGGAAATTTCCGTTAAGCAATGTTCACGGGCTCTTTGGTGAATAATTTCTATTTGGAACGGATGCAAAGGAACACACTGGAAGCCGATTGCATAAGTGAGAAAAATTAACGGAAGCGTATAATACTGATTTTCAAATGTATCGTGTTACGGCAAAAACCTTTGAAGAGCGCAATCAAAATCTCATGAATCAAAACAATCTAAGCTAATTTAATTTTCCTTTACAAGATTATGCAAAATTAATTTTTTCTTTATCTTTGCTCATTTTTAGGTGATTACGAACACTACATTAGTGAAATTTAAAATTTTGCTAGCTTGGAAAGGAACAAACAGGTGCTTTTCAAACAATTACGTTTTCGTAAGAAATTATATCAACTTTAAGAAAGAATAATTTAAACAATTAAATTTACTACCGTTCTATTTCTTTTAGCTAGAAGTTAAATCGTTGCCAAAAGTCCTCACAGTAATTTTTATCACAATATAGTTTTATATTCATGTGGCATACGTTTAAATAAATTACATTTACCAAACATCAAACAAAATACACCAGAATAGTTATCATGTCCACGGACGGAAGAAATAAAAAGTTTGCTCATATTGTAAAAACACATCGTAAATCTTAAAATTAAAATTGTATTTTGCAATTTTGAAATCGTAGCCGTACATTTCATTTGCATAAATACGTTCAATCTCTAAATTTCCTTTTTTTACTTGACAAAGGAGAAAAAGTTAAAGAAATCTAGTAACTCTCTAAATTGTTCAAAAAAACTAAACTATACTTATTGAGTAATGATAGTTATAATTTTGTTCTCTTTGCAGTATGTTTTATTAGGAATATGTCGTATGTAAGTAAATTGAATTCAAAGGTTCTCAGGTCTCTTACTTTTGGCTACAACGTCTATGATTGGACGATTGCCTCGGAATAGCATAGTATGTTAGGAAACTACAAGATTTGAGAAATCGTCGACATTGGATGACAAAATAGTTTATTTAATGTTTTCTCAGAAACAAGAAAACGAAAAATTCTTCCGTAAGTCTGCTTCTTTACTCTTTTTATCACATCCTTGCCTTCCTGTGTGATCTCTACTTAGAAAATCTTTCTTTTACAATGAAATAACTTTTTCTCTTTACAAGGAGAACTGTAAATATTAAATTTGAAATTATTACATCATGTAAACAAGAAATACTATTACTAGGAATAAATGTTCTCATACACCATCTTGAGCTTACAATTCTCTTGGCCGGCAGTTAAGAGTGGCTTTTCGTTTCTCTGTTTAGTTTTAGCTGAGTTAAGTCGTTGTTTTAACAGAACAGTTATATAAAAATGTTTAATTAGTTAAGTATCATGCTGTAAGTAAAGGGTTGTTCAAAACACTACAAATAATTAATAGTCTCTGATTAAAACATTAGTAAAGAGATTAGTTCCCGCAATGTAGCCGATTTTGATGTAGGTTGCTGTAAGTTTGTGAAAATTATCAAACCGCGTGGCTTGTGAATGTTATCGTACCTTCCGGACGAATGAGGAAGTTCACACAAAAAATGACTGACGTGAGCGTAATGTTTCCTCCCTCTCTTTTTCTGTCTATATTCAAAACCACTATTAATTCCCCTATCGAAGCACAATCAACCTCGGAAAAATCTTGAGTGTGATTCTAGTATGTTACACGGTACTCAACAGTTCCCACGTAACTTTCGTGATCGGTTATTTTCCCTAAGTCAATATATACTTTTAATGACTCTGGAAACGAGTCCTACGTGCTTATATTCATGCTTTCAGATCGTATGTCATTACTGAACCGTCAAATTAACCATTTGTCCAAGTATGGTTCCGATTTTTTAAATGTTACGTGTCTGTACATTTTGTTGTTTTTCAGGCGAAAGTGATAGCATCCTACATCTGTCACATCTATCTTATTATTTCGTTTTTTCGTGTTTCATCAATCTCAAAACTCGTCTGTCAGTGGGCTCCATAGATAATAGTCGCGGTGACTAGAGAAACGCTACATTTACTATATGGTGCTGTTTCGTTAACATACTATCAATTTTGATCATTTCATGAACGATGGTTAACGAAAAGAGTTGTCTCTTTCTCTTTCTAGTAGACAGAATAAGATAAGAAAGATATATGGGAGCTGTACACGGATTGCTTCAGTGGCTGACATTCTTACTGCACGCAATTGCATTAGAAGATATTCTACATTAATATCTTTTAACGAATATGTTTATCAAGGTCAATAAAGGGTAGACAAAGAATGAAAGGAAGATTTCAAAGGACTTGCCGTCCTTCTATTTTGTCCATTTTTTCATATCACGAACTATAATCATCCGAAGAAATTGTTCTTCACTACTCATTTCAATTCAACAATAAAGAGAATTCTAAACGCCATTCAGAATTATTCCTCTTCAAGATCATCGTACCTATTCATTTTTAATAGAGAGCACTGTAAGTAAATTTTGTATGAGTTACTCTGGGCTTCTTCAAATCGTTTGTCAATAATTCGATTTTCATGTTCCTGGTTATTCCTGTCATATTGGTTTTAAGTAAACCGTATACTTTCTCTCTTAAATACAAGCACATACTATTTAAACATAACTATTTACTAATACTATTTAAATTTTAGTATGATTACAAAACGCGATAAAAATAACGATACAAAATATGTTATATGTCAAGAAGTTATATTATAGGATAGTACGCAGTACGAAGAAAAAATCTAAATTAATTCAATCCGCTGTGTTAGAACATTAGTTATAATACTGAATTTAACAGAAAATAGAATATGGCCTGCAACTGTAATTTTTTAGATATATCGTTACCTTTTGGGCGAATTTCTTGAGAGGAAAATAAAATTCAAGTCAGTTGTGTTAGTGTTCAGCAAAGCCTGCACATTCGTGTACACCATGAAGCTATAATCATAGCTCCACGTTGTAAACATTATTATCTTTAGGTCTTCAATGTATCA